CCTGCTCTCAGGAGATAAAATGGGTATTCTCCAGTCTTCTGCTGTTTCTTTGTATGACTTCTAATTTCTTTTAGTTTAGAATTTTCTGTATTAGCATTCTGCTGGTTTCGCAGCTTGATAGGTTACATATGTTAAATATGTTACATAGGTTAAATATGTTACAGGTCAGGGAGATGAGATTTTGAAAGAAATTTTCTTCCGTGAGAGTTTTCTGAGAAGCTGTCCATGTATCTGCAGGAGAAGAAGCGAAGATGTACCCTCAGTGCTGCAGAAGCAATCTCCTGTTTAGGTTCTTCCTGGTCTATGTAGCCTGGAGTACCATGTCAGGTTCATGCCTATGTAGACGGGGGGGAAATAAGAGAGTGGTCTCCTACACAGGTCTGTATCCTCTCACTACTGAGCATTCAGACATTAGAGGGACATCATGCTACTGTCTTGTCCAAGAATGTTGTGAATCTATTCTTAAAGAGTGTGGGTTGGTTGAAAGTTTTTTCAAGATCTACTGTCCAATTTGAATTATCAACAGTTTTGAGTAGACCAAAACTGGCAGTGCAGAGTGGAGTCACAATACTTTTGGTTTTCAAAATGAAGGCAAAATGACAGCAAAAATGCTTAGCTGTATCCTGAATTGAGAATGTATATTCTCCACCAGAAGATGGAACTAAATCAAGTGGGGAGCTTGTGTTCATCTGCTGTCAGCAGAAACTTGAAACCTGCTGGCAAAGTGTGTATTTTATCTGCTGCTGGTGCATATGAAGACAACGGCCTACTACTGCTGTTGCTAATGGCTCAAGTGACTGATGTTTTTGTTTTAAATGTTTTAAAAGTCTGAAATCTACTGTCAAAATTTGGGGACAAATGGTATACCATTAGTCTTTTACCTCAAAAGATGGGAAAAACAGCATTAGGCCTTGAATTTCAAAGCAAACTAATATGAAGTGCAAGAGGTAGAACTGACATGTCCTGTTTTCTTTAAATTGAAAGTTTGACTTTGGTCAATACTATACAATACTATAAACGTATGACAGTATGTGTGTATTTATGATAAACCACGTTGTCTTTGCTTAAGCATTCATTTTAAGTACTGTTATACTTCCAAGTTTAGAGCCTTTCTGTAATTTCATGGTATTCCAGAATATTTTGTGTTTAAGATAGTCTGTGGTGGAAGTGAATGCTTATTTGGATTGCTGTGCACTGGCTGCAGGGCACCTGTAATACCCTAAATAAGCAAATACCGATTTGGTCTCTTTTGCACAGAAAGAGGTAGTTGTGAAAAATCTTTAGAAATTTTGCAAACTTGTGGATGTATACAGGGAGCTAAAGTAAATATGAACTCAGATATGAGAAGGAAATGCAAGTTTTTTGGATAGATTTTAGATTAGTGTTAGTATAGGAAGTATTAAATCAGTGCTGACTTGACTCTATCCTGTTATTGCAACTTCTGTTTTAACACTGTGGGTTCATGATACATAACTCAGCCCTGACTGATTATGGTTTAAATCAGCAGTAAGGCACCTCAACGTGATCAGTTTGGTCTCTTTAGAAACGAGAAATTGAACTCTTGGTTGTCACTATATGTAACTTTGTAGGGGAACTTTTCAGAATAATATCCCCATTTCCATTATAATAAGAGATCATAAAATCATGCAAGCTGGAATTTATAACGTGAACTCTGCATATTCATCCAGATAATTTTAACATGATGCACATGGGCCTTTGAAAGTGAAATTATGGCCTTGGACTGGCCTTTCTGTGAGTAAAAAATGTAATATTGCAAAATGTATAATCTCTGAGTGGTGAGGGTAATGACTTGTGAAGAAATGCTTACTAAACTCAACATATTTAGTGTAGATAACAAGGAGACAACTACAATATGCAACTTTGATGGTATTTTGTGGCAGTAGCTAAAAGCACATGCAGATAGTTTGGAATGCATTCCTTAGATATGAATTAGAAATAAGATTAGGATAAATTTTGATTAGATAACAGAAAGGCACTGGTACAGCACTTGCACTTGCAAAGCATTTGATTTTGGTGTTTAGCTGGGTTGTTGGCCTGCAGAGTGCACGGTTTGAGTACTTTGGAGAGTAAGCTGGCTTTGTAGCTGGAGTCTGGCTGGAGAGTATTCACCAGTCAGTGTTCCTACTGTCTGCTGGAAGAGAGTCAGTGCCTTGAATCTCTTTACCGTGAATCTCCACTGTCGTCCTCACAACTGAAATAAAAGCAGCAGCAGGGCTTGCGGAGTGGATAACAGACAATGCCTTTTGAATTGTTCAAAGCTCTGATGTAATTATTAAATTTTGATTCTTCTTGATACTATAGTGGTGTTAAACTAAGGGGTTGGGATTTGTGAGAATGAGTTGTGTAACGGTGGTGAGGAGAAGCAAGTCTTTTTTTTTCTAATTTCTTGTTCCCTAATAAGATCAGGTCAAATGATGTGTTCTGATTAGTTTATGGTGGAGACTATTGTAAAGAAACAGTGAAGGTGCTGGGATCCCTGCCTTGGTGAGCTGTAAAACTTTACACTCCCAGAGTCACCCACAGGTTCTCATCGTGTGCAGCCAAGCTCTGCCCTGCATCTGCTCCTTACTAGGGAGGGGCAGAAGTGTTCTTAGCTCCTTAGGGGAAGGGAAAGCAGAGGAGCCTTGCACAGCAGGTTATTGCTGTGTGTAATGTGGAACAATAAAGGTTTTTAAAAGGCAAATAGAATAGCCTGTAAAGTAAATTTTCTTTTAAATCTTGTTTAGGAGATGGGGAGGTGAGTCGCTAGGAACAACATAGATTTCCTCTTAGCTCTCAGCGCCCTGGAGTATGGATTGGACTGCAGATAGAAAATGGACTCTAGTAATCTGTCAATGAGCAGAAATAGGGTATGAACAACCACTGACCTTTATAAAGTCCTTCAGATCTATCTGTGAACAACCACTGAGCTGTATGCAGTCCTTCGGATCTGTCTGTATGTCCGTAGTGCCTCCAAGGGCAGGCTGTGACCGTGCGTTAGTGACGCGTTCAGCAGTTTCCCAGTGTGTAGAACATACTTCCTGTGCATGAAAGAACAGCAGCAAGGAAACAGAAGTGAACAGCACTGAGACTTAAAGCAAGCCGGTGGATGGGTGGAACGGTCAGTACATGAAGAATGTGGGGCAGGATGTAGTTAATGTCCCTCTTGCCTGAGCTGTGTTCCACCACTTTGAGCTTTATTTTAATGCATCTCTCAAGTTGCATGCAACATTATTATTCTTTACCTAAAGCTTTTTTTAACTGTTAGGAAAGACAGCATTAATACAGCTCTCTTGGTGTTTAATAATGCACTTCTCTTCCCCTAAAAAAAAAAAAATATTTAGGCTACTGTAGTTTCTTTATGTTGTGGATATGATTCATTTTGGCCATGGGAGGAGAATGACAGTTACTTGCTACACAAACCTTTCCTGTGATTCATGGAGTGCCATTTGTGTCAGCCTTGAAGGAGGCACTTCATATGCTTCCTTGCAGGAAGGAAAGAGTATGATCATAGTTACCAGATAGGATATGGAAATTGGGTGGGAGGGAAGGGAAAGGGGAGAGGGAAATACTGATTATTCCGAAGAAAGTTGCAGGAGTGCCAAGATTCTGTCTGCAGTATCCATTCATCTACTTAATGAAAAATGGATACATACCAAGCCTATATATAATTAAGGGAAACGTCACAACTGTAATTGCCATGTTCACAAAATAGAATGGCTTATTATGTAACTTTTTGTGTAAATATATCTTAGCACTTTTCCTCAGTCTCCTGGATCCATCAATGGTATGAAACTTCTGTCCCTGAGTGATGTGTTTCAGATTTTGCTCTCAAGCTGATGGCCATATACAGTGCTTTGTGTTAGCACTCTGCAGAGACAGATTTTTGTGCTCTAACATGATATAGTTGATTAGCTTGGCAGATCAGAAGACATTTTTCTTTCTTCACAAAAAAGTAATTTAAAAAGCTGTACCACAATTTTCTTCCTAAAAGTAACAGCACAGCATGGCTACTTAACTGCTTGTAAAGAAGAATGCTCCATTAAATGGTAACCCCTAATGCTGCGTGGCAGACTCTGGGGTTCTTTCATGGCATCCAGCTGCTTCCAACTGTTTTCTCTGTACCTAGAAGCTGCAGGGTAGAAATAAATGGGAGTAGGAGAAGTGGAAACTTAGGTTTTCTAAGTTCCTAATTTCCTGCGTTGGTTAGGGGCTCATGGCTGGCTGTCCTCCTGCAGTTGGCAGGATTTGGTGTGGTACATGTGGCTGTGTCAGGACATAGAGCTGTGGCTGTTCAGCCATGTAGCATCTACAAAAGGTCCTTATCCAGCCTAGCAGATGCACAGCAACGTTAGAATGGGAAAGCAGAGGTGTAGTTAGAGATGAAAGGAGTGAAATTAGGAGGAAAGAAGAAGAGAATAAAAGTGGATGTGAATTACTAATCGCATATATTAATTGATTTTCCCAGGCAATTAGAATTTTACTGCTTGAATCACCAATGCTATTCGGTCCTCCAATATTTCCCGTGTTATAAAACGCTGGCTCTGTTTTGATTTTCCAGTAGCTGTGTTTATTGGGGATAAGGGGTCTAATTATAGCTGTGAACTATACTGTACTGAGAGGGCATTTAAGTTTCTTCTGACTATTTCTGAGGCAACATGATGAGTCATGAAATATAACTTTTGCAGAAAATATCCTGATTGCCTAATGACTAGGTGTTGGTAGATGAAATTACACGCACTCTCTCTTGTTCACATGAAACCAGGGAAGTGTCTTTCTGAGTAAGCTGTTTGTTCGAGTTACCCAAGAAATGTAAAAGATTACCGTTGCAAAATAGGAAAAAAAAAGTATATGTTTGAGGAGCTTGAAAATACCTGCTGATACACATATGCTTTAGACATTCACAATATCAATATTGTAAATAAAATACTTGCAAAGAAGAAATACTGCCTGAAAATAATACAACTGATCATCCATGTTCCAAATGTTTTATTTTGCAGATGATGAAGAGGATGTTAACAGTATGGAAGAAGTCATGTTAGAATTTGCTGCAATGGATAGATCTCTTAATAATTATATAAGAGCATTTGAGGAAACAGTAAATCAGGTAAACTGCCTCTTCTAATAGCATTATGAAAACACATCCTTATTTAAATATTATCTTTTAATAGACACAAATGTTACACTAAAGCAACACATGGTTGTAAAGCTAGATCTTTGGCAGGTATAAAATACCGAAGTTGCTGGTACAACTATGTATTTTTTTTCCTAGTGTGATAGAGTTTCTAATTCCTCCCCATGAAACATCAGTGGAAATATGGGAAGAGTAGTGCTTCGGGAATGACTGAGGACACTGTAGTTTAAGATAACCTAGTCTTGGATGACACCTGCCTTGTGTATTGTGGAAGATGGAAGTGCAGATGGATGAGGCAGCTGATTTTGGGAACAAACCGGTGGCTGTGGCAGTAGGGAACAGATGTTTTAAAGCCTGCCTGCCACCTGACTATGCTGGTGCTTATAAAGGGTGAGCTTGTTAATTACCCGCTCAATTAACCAGGGGCTCATTCTGAGCTTGGTCTCGGGACGGACAAACCCCCGGCGCGGCCGTGCCGGCAGCGACCGCCAGGGGGCACCGCGGCCGCGGGTTTCCCTTCCCTTCCCTTCCCTTCCCTTCCCTTCCCTTCCCTTCCCTTCCCTTCCCTTCCCTTCCCTTCCCTTCCCTTCCCTTCCCTTCCCTTCCCTTCCCTTCCCTTCCCTTCCCTTCCCTTCCCATCCCGACCAGGAGCAGGCAAGGGATCCACAGCAGAGCCAGGGAGGAAAGAGGCAGTCCCAGGGCAGGCTGGACTTAATCCCTTCATTTCAGGCCACATAATACCTGGAGAACTCAACTTCCTAAGTAACCTATTCTAGTGTGTGTCTGCAAATTGACTTCTTGATTTTGTATGGATTTCTCTAGAAAAGGCAAAACCGCATCCCTGGTTTCCCTTCAAGATGGGAAGTCTGTTTCAAAACTTGAAGGTGGTAGAGCTTTTCAATTAAATCTGCCCTGTTGTTATCTTGCTATTGCTTTTCGCTCTTTTAAAAGCAATAACAGGAGAGCAAAGCAATACATTTTCCACTAGTTCTATTATGAGATGCTTTTTCTTTTGTAGCAAGGTTTTCCTTTAATATTTCTTTTTAAATCATCCTGAGTTAGATGCTTGACTGAAAAATCTTCTTTCAAAAATTAAATATACATATTTAAAAGGAGTTGAAAACTATGTCCACATCAGCAGGTGTTGGACAGCAGTAAATACAGGCACTGTATGCAGTCTTTAAATATACATTTCATCTCAGATGTCATCATAATTGCAGACCTCCTAGTTTATGTTGGATGGTTCAGGACTTTTTCCTTTTATTTGGAATATTCATGATTTTTAAAGCTTTCCTAGTAAATCATAACATAGTTCTCATCATTAGAGATTAATGGTGTATATCCAGACTTGAGTGAAACATAGCTGGTTTATATTTTGATTTTAAGCTATTAATTAATGATGTGTTACTGTTATGATAGGAATTTCAAGTAATTTTCAAGAATGACTTTTTATCTTTTTTCACTATTTCCATCTATCAGCAAAACACTTTTTTTCATCTTTAGGAATATAAAGAGTAAGCCTGTGCCTTCACCAGCAAAGCACCCAAATCCTATTTACTTCAGATGCATTCACTCATGATCTTTTAAGTTAAGCAGAGGTTTAACTGCTTGACTGAAGTGAAGATACTTTTGTGAGTTTTTAGGGAGGGCAGTGATACATTTGTGATTTTTGGGATTGCATTCAGCAGTATCTGTTGTGTGCATATCCCTGCTGGTGTGCAAAAAATAGAAAGTCCTGGAAATGTTGGTTTGTATTTTTTCCCCTTTTTTCCCTAATGGAACTCATTTGTGTTGCTAAAACGAGCTTGTTCACTGTTCTTTCAGTCCTAAGGTTTTAAAAATGCTGTTCCAAGATATTTAACACGTTCTAGCGTCTACATGGATTATAAATTTGGTAATGGCTAATCTCTTAGCCTCTAGCCACACTTCTCCTGTCTCTGCTTCCTACCTCGCTCTAGGGAGTTTTCTCTACTTTCCCCTGCCAACATCCTGAACCTTTCTGAGTATGAGAAGGAAATGTATATAACTACTGCAGTAGAACAGAGTTACAGTCTGTTCTCTGAAAAATAACAGCTCATGCTTTATTTTGGCGGCTAGCTGCATGCCATGCCTCTGGAACCACACTGCCTATCTCCAGTTACCTGTCAGAGACAGCTTAAAATCTGCTTCTGGGAAACAGATACTGTTGCTGAATTTAGGGCTGCACCTGGAAATAGCTGTAGAAAGGCTTGAGTTTAAAATAGCCTCCACTGGCTTGCTCCCTGGTTCCATCTGAATTCCTTACCTGAGGGCTTTCTCTGGGGAGTTGCATCAGGTCATTAATTTTCACAAGAGACTGTTCTTCATACACAGTGTTAACAGGATTTGTCTCCAGCTGCAAAACACTTTTTATCTGATTATTTTGTAAGTTTGTATGTTGACAATTTTTCTGGTCAGTAGTTTCTTCATACAGCAGTGAATCTGAAAGCATATTGTACTCTGTGTTTCACCTTCTAACCACCTGCTTGTAGTGAAATGTCCAACTGGAATTTAGCAAGATAAGGAGACAGCAACAGTTAAAACTCCTAATTTATTATTTTATTATATATACCTTTAAATGGCATTGACAAATACATGATATTGTACAATGAAAGTATATCATGTTAATAGCTAGAAACTAGCATGAGATATAGTCACATGTTTTCTCAAAGCCAGTTTTTTTGTTGATTTCGGCTGCAGTAGGTGGAATGCAGAAGGTGAGACATACCAGCATCCTCTTCTGGTTGAATCAGCAGCCTGTTGAGCAAGAAATGAGCACTTGAGTCACAGTGTTTCCAACAATAGGCTGTGGGAAATCCTTTTTCTGTGGAAACTCCCTGTGCCACTGGATTTTCTTGTACCTGTGTAATGACTGGACTTCTGCTGCTGCTTCTTTTTTCATTTTTAATGGGTATTTTTAAAATAAATTAACCAATATTCAGGTCCTTACCATGCAAAGTGCAGACAGCACTCTTGCTTTTAGTGTAACAACAAAAGACTGATGGAACTGCAGTGTCCCTTGCAGACTTTATACTCCTGAGGTGGACACAAATGATTGGGACCCAGGCTGACAGGCAGTGCAAGTGTTCCCTGCTATAGAAGAGCTATCAAGTGGCCAGAATGCCAGCATATTGTGTTGTCCCAAATATGGATTCTTTCACCCAGTGTGCAGGAACGTGATGCACACACAGAGTCGAGATACTTGATTTTATTTTGTATCTGTGGAGAGAGAGGTGCCGGGTGCTGAATTCATGAAGGTAGCCCACCTTCAGTGGGCCAGGTGCTTATTTTCATACACTTTGAACAGTAAAAAAATGGCATTTCCTGTATATGTAACAGCCTAAATCTGTAGTCTTTGGCTTTGCATTCTCTCGTCTCCACATAAAGATACAGTGCACACTAGTTTTACCATGCATGCTCTGTGAGGAAGGGGAAGTTGTTCTTGGCTCTGTAGTTTGATTTATTGTGTCCTCCTGTTCTTGCTTCTTGAGTCATGGCTGTTGGTTCCTGCAAGTTTGGCTGTTCCCTCATCTTTTATAAGTTCTTTTATTTTTCCTGTACTTCAGTGAATTTTTAACTTCTCCTGGTATTTAATTTCAACAGTTGTGCCTGTTCTCTCAGTCCCTCTGCTCTCTGGATTAGCAGGGGTGTTGGTGGTGGACTCTGATCACTCACTTGGCTTTTCAAGCATTTGGCTTCTTTGGGACTGTAAAAACTGGGGTAAATTTTCTGAAGTCCCCAGACTTCATCTGGGGACTTCATCTTTTATCTTCCCTAGATAAAATTAATTGCAATGCATTGTAGATCAATCTAGAGAACAAGAGAGATGAAAACAACTTTCTAATGTTGCATTATTCCCACCCCTCTTCTCCTTCAGGGAAAGAGAACCTGGGCTATTTTGTATTTTTGCAGGTGAGAGCAAAGTGTTGAATGTAGTAGAGGCATCTCTGGCAAAGTTTACTTAATGCTTCCTTTTGTAAGTTACTGCTTTGCCAAACATCACTTCGGCTCACTTGGAATTGTGTCTGCCTTTTGCTAAGCCTGAACACTGCAAGGGACGATAAAATCCAAACCTGAGTGAGGTGGAAGAAACACATAGGAGACATGTTTCAGGAAAAAATTAAGAGCCATGTTAAGGGAGCACTGAGAGTGGGAAGAGACAGACAAAAATGTAAAAGACATGGGGTTGGGAAGTCATGAGGTCATGTAGACAGATGGGGAGAGACTGGTTGAAAGAGTGCTAGGAATGAGATGGTGTTGAGCTGAAGAAAAGATATTAGAAGTTTCATCAGTTTTATCCCTATTTCTGCTACAGCCTTCCCACATTGTTCTAGGTGAGTAATTTCTACCACCATCTCAGTGGCTGCCAACATCTTTGTTTTCTGACTGTCCTGCATGGAAACTGATTTAAGCAATCATAATAGCAATTTAAATCTAAGTTAATTAAAGTTTGAACACAGGAAATGAAATTAAACATGTTCTTTCTTAGGTTTTATCTGTAAAAAGACACACAAATGATGTAAGTGTATGTCTTGAGAGGGTTTGAAGTCTGGATGTGTTGGTCATTCATGCCTGTGTGACTTCATACCTTGTCAAGTGTTCAGTCTTCCTTTGGCAAAGATGAGGAGTGCACCACGTTCCTTGTACAAGGGTAGTTTTGTCTCTACAGGATATACAGGAACTACTCTTAGATTTGTTTTGTATTTTTGATAATAGTTCTCTTTAAACCAGTAGGTTCATTGGACATGGAATAGGAGGAGGTGTTTGTTCACTGTGTCAGTAATTTAGAGCAGATTACTTAGTATTGGGGTCTGTTATCTTCGTGGCCAAGTCTGTAGGTTTTAATCCTGCAGAGGAATGACTCCCTTCAGTGATACAGGTCATATTCATTCCAAGTGTGCAGCTTGTGAGTGATTCTAAGGAGCAACTGCAGAAAAGTAAAAAAACTTGCTGTA